ATAAAGTTTTTTAAAAAAAAATCATAAATAGGTACTGGATTTTATCAAATGCTTTTTATGACTCTAAAAATGTAATTTCTGTAAATGCAATAAATAATATTAATTTTTCAATTACAGACAGACTCGGTTTTGTGTGGCACCACGCTAACTGCAATTTGATTTCTGTGGCACGAATCCTCCCACCGTAGCAGATTTCAAGCTGCCAAAACGAGCTCACGGAACTCACAGGCACGAAGAGATGGGCACTGGTTCTCCTAAGCCAACAGGAGCCAGTCCTGGCCTACCTCTGATTTTAGTCCCCAGGAACCAAGACTGAAATTGATCATTTCACTAGACCAGCAAGAACAAAGTCGCTTCAAATGATCTATTTTATAAAAAGCCTCACAGAGAATCCAGGAGGCCAAAGGTAGGACTGGGGGTAGTTTAGGAATTCTTCCTGGCAGAGACGATACAGGCCATGAGCTAGGTCTTAGTGGAAGTAATGGGATTTGGAGGAGCAGAGAAGAAAGGACAGTGTAGTACAGTAACAGAAGGCAGTAAAGGAAGGTATGGAGGCAGGAGAGCACACGACACCCAGGAGAGCTCACAAAGGTGAGGTGAAACCGGTGTCTGTGCTGGGCACTCGCTGCTGTTCCATCTGCAACAGCCTCAAGCAACATCCGCGGCTACGGCGTTACAGAGGTGCGCCTCCACTCCTTACCAGTGCCAGGGCCAAGTGGCCGATGGTCCTGCACATTAATAATCAAATATATATACTCATTCTGTTTTTCTGCATGCTATCAAGAAACTCAAAAGTTAATTTTCTATTGAAATTCTTTTTATTAAGACTCCTATGGCTTCCGGGCTGAGGAAAAAAAAGTGTTCTTCAACATCTAGGGTACAGCTCACAGAGGTACTCCAAGTAGCCTCAGAAACCATCTACCCAAAATTTCATAATAGTCCAAGTTCAGACAGAGCCTGAACATTGTGAGTACTTATCTGTCCCTAAAGAACTCATGGGATATGGCCTATATACTACCATTTCAGAATAAGTCTAAAATTATTTGATTCCAAAAATAGGATTAGAATCAGAAATGTAAAAAATGTAGATGTAATACAGAAAATAGAGCCATGGCTGGAAGTGATATGGATACTGAGATACACTTCTCTAAGCACATGTAAGAATTAAGTGTGATAAAGTATGCATTTATCATCAACACTCTACTTACTATTGGGTCATGTATTTTGTCAAATTAAGTAAAATACCTCCTCAAAACAAATTCTGAATTTCAACTATTATATAATTATGTGAATTCGCCTAATGATATAATAGCAATACTGTATAATTCTGAGGCTGATAAAGAATATAAATTATTTTATAAGGCAGCCACAAAGAACTGTTAGTCTGCCAAGTTAACTCCCAACCCTCACATTAAAGTTAAAAAACAGAATTTTTCATGTATACATTCTCAATAATTTCTAATGATATCTTTGATCTAATCAATTTAGATAATATTCTCTCCTATACAAAAGATCCCAAAATAAAGAAGCATACACAGAATATAGCCAATAGTAGGTTATATCAATTTACTTCACATAAGAACAGCGTATTTCAGGCCTATGATTTCCATTTAGTATCAACAAAAACAATCTGTACAGAAAACCCAAAGGCAACGATAGAGCATTATACATAAAATGTGCAAATATACTTTAAAATGCAAGTTATTCTATAGTATTTGCATGGTAGAACTTTATAGTAATTAAGGAACCAACCTCATTCCAGCTAATTTAATCATCCTTTTGCATATATAGCCAATGCAAATGCACAAGGCACAACTTAGTGTTGATGCTAAAGTGTGTAAGATACACCTTCAGATTTATTTGGAGATATTAAAATAACATAATCATGTTTGTATTTTATTATTTAATGAGACATTAGCTCATTTCTAAAGCTTCACAAGCATTACACTTGATAACATATATGTGGCAAGGACAAACTGTTCCCTGGACTTAAAAGGTAAAAGACAAGACCCTTGGTAGCCTATATTAAAAAAAAAAAAATTATATCTCTATATATATATGTACACACACACACCCACAAACTTCCCATAATTCAAAGGGAGGCCATTCCTTTTAGCAAAAGTTCCCTTATAGTATTTCATGACAATTATTTAAAAAGTATGTATTTATTTGCCATCTGTTTTGGTCAATCTTCCTACAAAAAGATACTGAAATAGACAATTTTCTTCTTCAAGATGAAGACAATACCAATTTAGAAAGTCTTTCTTTTGAGACTGCACAGTGAAAGGTATTATTTAATTATAGAAGCTTGTTGCTTTTAAAGAAATTATTGAAATCTACACAAAGAAAAATGTTAGCCTATCAAAAATCAATGAGACTTGGCTAGAACACAATTCAGAATCTTTCAAGCCCAATCACAGTGCTTCTTTGCTGTTTTATTGCCCATTCCTGAGAATATTCTATTATTTAAAATTTTTTAATTAAGTAAATAAATTTTACATTGATGAGAATTATGCTTAAGAATTGTTTTTCAAAATATAAAATAAGCCCTATTTCATTTTGGTAAAAAAGAAAAAAAAAGAAAAAGAAAAAAAGAAATGCTCTTTGCAAATACCATCAATTCCAAATATTGGTATCTCAATCAATGTTAGTCCTCCTCTTAACTGGGTAATTCCTATTTTTTGCCATTCATGTATCACTCGTTTCCTTATTATCCATTATTTTATAATTTTTGTTAACAGGAGCATTTAACTGGTAATGGAGCAAAAATACATATAAAATTAAAGGAACTCTGGAGTGAGATCTGTATTTCCCTGTGGTAAAAGAGTTTTACTGGAAATAATCTGAATGCCATTCAAGAAAGGCAAAAGTACCTACGAAATAAAGAACACACATGGTAATGTCTTCCTCGTTGTCTTTGGTTTAGCCTTCTTGGCCAAAATCTTCTGTAAACTTCTTTAATTTCAACAAGTCATGTTCATTGACTGTGGGTTTTGTGTTAGATAGTGACCGTAACATATCCGACTGTCAGGGAAAAAGAAGGGAGGAGTATTAGTAATAGATTTAATCAAATAAAAATCATTGTATTATTATTAACTAACTTTCCACCTGAGGTTAAATCTAAGTATTTGCAGTGTGCCGTAAGTTACTAACAATAAACTCTTATTCCTTCTAAAGGACATCTTTGATCCTGCTCTTCCTTTGCACAGTAACTTTAAGCTGCTTGCCTAGTCCTGACCACAACTTTTGATGGCTCCCATTACCTATCAGGAGTATAATCCTTTTCGCTTGAAGATCAAGGCCTTCCAAAATATGTCCCTGATCTCTTTTCTGGTCTTACTTGTTTTTTTCTTAAAACAAGAGAGTTCACCAAGTGCAGTTCAAAATGAATTTAGTCATTCACTTACAGAAGTTATTCACTTATACTTATGTGAAACACACCATTTAATTAAAACCAACTAATCAGAATTTTTAAAAAAATATTTTATTTATTTATTTGAGAGAGAAAGAGAGGGACAAGAGAGTACCAGTGGGAGGGAGGGTAGAGGGAGAGGGAGAAGCAGACTCCCTGCGAAGCAGGGAGCCCAAGATCATGACCTGAGCCAAAGGCAGACACTTAACTGACCAAGACACCCAGGCACCCCCAGAATTTTTAACTATTAATTAAAATTATGATCAAAATGGGAAGAAAATAGGCTAACATCAGGGATTCATTAAAAGATTAACTTCTGGGCTATGTCTCTTATAAAACAGTATGAAATATGGTTAAAGAACAAAATCTTTATAAAAAATAACATAGTGGGGCACCTGAGTGGCTCAGTTGGTTGAGCATCCGACTCTTGATTTCGGCTCAGGTCATGATCTCAGGGACCCCCATGATGGGTTCCATACTTAGCAGGGAGTCTGCTTGAGATTCTCTCTCTCCCTCTCCCCCAATCCCCACCCACACTCACGCTTCTCTTTAAAATAAATAAGTAAATCTTAAAAAAAAAATAACATAGCAAGGACTGAAACAAAAAAGGGCTTTTGAATAACTTCTCAGAGAAGCATAATTAACACGTAAATATATCTATATACATACTATGTACTTATAGAGGTATGTGTACGTCTATAGGTCTATGTGTACATATCGCATAAATAAGTTTCTCCTCTGGAAGTTACTGTTAATTCTGACATAAAGCTCTTTGAAAATCTGTAACCGAAGCAAATTTTTAAAAAACTGAGCATGCACCAATAAGAAAACATAAAAATAATAAATGTAGCTTTTCACAGTAAGCTTCCTATACCTTACAAAATAAGTCTTAAGAATTATAAATCCCTCCAATATAAACTCTAGAAATGTAATTTTTTTTATCATAAAAATTTGGTTTCAGGACTTTTTTTTTCAAGCACTACATTAAATTTTCTACAAAACTTGAAGTAAAACAGAAAAACACCATTATGATTACTATGATAGATGCATTAAGGTTTTTGGATATTTTATAAAATCTTAAGATTCAGAAAAGAAATTTCACCAATTTTACTTTTTGGTCAAGTCTTGACAATAATTTATGCCATATAAATAAGTATTCTGTTGATAGTATCCCAGCCATAAGACCTAATAAAAGCTTAGAAACCTGTTTTTTGAAAAAAAACTTTTCACTTAAAATTTTTCTTAAAGCCCAAGAACCTACATTAAAGATAATTATTTTTTATATTTTAAGTTCAATTAACTTCACAATTTTTTGAGTAGTATTACATAAACATGCTTGATCATACTGATATTTTCTAGCTCATCTTATATAACTAAAAATGTTTATCTTTGTCTCACAAATGACAAACTGTAATGTTTCAAATTTTTTAAAATGTCAAACCATGCAAACAATTGGCTCCAAAAGTTTATCCCCAGGAACGTCCATCCATGTCATTTCAATGGCCCCAGGGTCACCGGGAGAACAGGGTGTTAGCAGGTCATCTATTATTTTGTTGGGATCATCTCGTGAAGGTCCGCGCACCTGGAATAAAAAGTAATCTGAAATATTTACTTGAACAAATTAACTAAGATTTAGGCCATTATCAAGACATTTGAAAATGTACTACTCTGTACTTGGTTAAAATGTTTACTTCTAAAAATAAACATGAATATACAATAAAATGTAGTTATCTTCGGGTGACGGGATAGATTTTGTTTGGTTTTGATTTTTTTCCTGTTGCTTTCTTGTATTTTGAAATTTCCTATATTACTTACATGATCAAAGGAGAAAAGGAGTTAAAATTAAAAGAAAAAAAAAAAGAAACATCTGTGGTTAAGAGTTCTCTTTTCTCTAATGCCTATTAAATGGTCTTAGAGTCCACAAAAAAGGCATCCTCAATAAGTCTCTTAAGTTTTCTCTATTTTCCAAAACTGAGAAAGTTCTGTGATATTTGGAAGATTTATAAGTGTGAAATCACTGAATCTTTCTTTCTCAACAAAAATTCCTTCTTTAAGAATAAGTACAGGGGCGCCTGGGTGGCTCAGTCGTTAAGCGTCTGCCTTCGGCTCAGGTCATGATCCCAGGGTCCTGGGATTGAGTCCCACATCGGGCTCCCTGCTCGGCAGGAAGCCTGCTTCTCGCTCTCCCACTCCCCCTGCTTGTGTTCCTGTTCTCGCTATCTCTCTCTCTGTCAAATAAATAAATAAAAAATCTTAAAAAAAAATAAAATTAAAATAAGTACAAAATTAAATGCTAAGTGTAATTTCAGTGCTTATTTTGAGATTCATAACTGATTTAAAATAAAATTTTAATAACACCCAGAGACAAAACTTTGTGACTCAGAGTCACATGCGAGTATTTTTTTTTAACATTTCACCTTTTATTAAGGCAAGTTTGTGAAAATAATACAACCAGATCTCTTCATGAACTTCCAGCTTAAAACGTTTTTTACGTAAGAAACATATAAAAGAATTCTGTTTTATAAAAAGCCACCTCAATACCAGAAAAGAGTAATGAAGCATTTTGAACCCAGTTTACTTTTTAAAGGATGTTCTTCCCTTGTCTTCAATTCCAAGTACTATTCATCATCTTTAGAGCCAGTTTGCTTAAATGCTTCACCACATCAACCCAGTTCCATCCTCGAGGCAGTTCTCCTTTGTGATCTGTTTTATCTGCCAGCTTACGTTTCTGGGTTTTTGAAAGCTGTTCTTTTTTCTTACTTGGTAGGGCTGTATTAGGGGTTTCAATGGAGATGATAACTGCTTATGGGTATCATAGAATTCATGGGCTGGTGATTCTCATGAATTGATCCTTACTGTCCTTGGCATTTTCAAACAATGTGTAGGTCATGGCAGTCCCGAGATTGACCTCCACTTCTTCCTGTAACTTGGCTAATATGCTCTGCTTTACAGCAGATGATATGGTGTTGTTCAAAAAAGCGTTCATAGATATAATTGGAAGTGTTTGGGGTATGTTTCTGTCCAGGAAATCTCTATTAAGAAGGCTTTGGGATCACCATTTTCACCTATCCTGTATTGAAATGACACTGGACTTAATTCCCGGAAGCTTTCATCTCCTTCATAAACAGAATGTAGAGCTTCCAGTTCCATCTCTTGGTCCTCATTGGCACTCATTGCGCCAGTTGTGGGATGCCCCCTGGGAGGGTGTCTGCGACAACGAGAAAGCGAGAGCAGTGGCCCCGAGCCCGGGGCCTCCCCCTTCCGAGCCCTGGGCTGCGGGAGGCACACCCCTCACACAGGGGACGAGAGTCACGTGCGCCCCTGGTCTCCGGGGGTCTGTGGGCGGGGAGCCTGAGCACATCCAAGTATTTTATAGGTGGCAACAGATCTATGCTAAATTGGGGGCTGCTTTCACATTTAATATTTATTTGACAATGATCAATCTTAAATATTACGTCAGGATTAGGGCAGGTACAGAAAAATAAACATTCTAGCTTTACTTATTATGTGTATTTTATTGTCTGTCTTTCCCCACAAAAATTTCAGCAGCAGGGATTTTTGTGTTTGATTGTAGTACTTTCTGACTTATCTCTAGGCTCAGAGTAGTACTTTAGACATTTGATAAATACCCAAACAGGCAATCTTGTTCTTGCTAATTGAAATAATCAGCCTTAAAATGGGAGTAAAAGATGGAGCCATTGAGATATCTACTAGCTGGTGATGCAGGAGGCCAGATGTTAACATTCATTTGGCTGCTTCACCTTTATCCTCCTAAGAAGGACCCAGCTTCACGGTCACAGAAGCTGTCCCTGGCAGTCATATGGAGAACCGAATGAAAAGTTCTGGGTAGGAAAGGACTGAGTTCCTAACAATCAATAGTTTCTAAATGCAAAGAGAATTTAAAAGAAAATACAATGGCTGGGACATAAACTTGACCCTGAGCCTCCTATATTTCTCCTAGTAATGAAGTGGCTGCAGAAGGAAAGGGCTATTTCCCGGGGCTACTCAAGTGCTTTCCGAGAACTACTTCATTTCGTTTCCACAATTGTACTTGGAGGCAGTGCTACTGTCTCCTGTAGAGATGATACAAACAAGACTTAAATGGGTAATATAATTTGCGCAAGGAGATATAATAAGTAAGTTGTGGAGTCCGGCTTTAAATTCAGGTTTTAATTCAAGCTCATCATTTTTTAAAAAACTTATTTCATTGTGGGACAAGACATACGTATGTAACTTAGTCATGATACATCAGTCTTGTCATATTGCTGGATTAAGTTTGCTAATCGTTTTTCAGGATTTTCACATCGATGTTGATGGTAATATTGGGTACTGCTGTCCTCAGCAACAGCGTTGGTACAAATTACCTACCCCACTGTTATTTAAATATCTCGGACATCCCAAGACCACAGTCTTTTTACAAAATGCTATATGCTCAACCCATTCATGCAGACAAAACAGTGCATGGGAAGCAGGGACTCAGATTCTGAAGTACATGTAACCTAGAGAAAAATCACACGTCTGTACCTCTCTGGTTGTACCTTGGCAAACCGTGTTAGCAGCCAAATCCCAGTTTAATCCTGTTAACATCTGAGTCTCAGATTAATGATCAACAGGTGGCAACAGGCACCTCTTGTAGAATTTTTGTGAGGAACAAATGAAATAGTGAGATATAGAATAGAACACAGTGAAAATTTAAATATCAGCTATTGGTATTTTTACTTTGTTAATGAGGTGTAAATGCACCAGATTCAGCTTGAGGATATTCTAGTTACATCAGTGGTAACTACATATTTAAAGTTTCTATACTTACATCAAAATAATAAATACTTCAAAAATCACTGCATAAAAAATTTTAAAATACATTAAGACTATTAATAATAGCTATTAATAAACTTTGTGGGAGAATGTATTTTCAAAGACATGGAAATGTTTATTCTATAAACCCATTATTTATTATATAAAACAGAAACCTTCCTGAAATTCTTCGAAGACAAATCAATGATGGTCTCAAAACCTGACTTTAAAAGTATCTGAAAGGATGGAACAAAGCTCCTTACCTTTTTAAAATGAGTAGCTGACTGCACTTTTCTAACAGGCTGCATCAGCGCATCGCGCACAATGACACTTATGTCTGCCCCCGAATAGCCGTCTGTTTTCTTCCCGAGTTCTTGGAAGTCTGTTTTTGTGAGACTGTTCTGAGTGGTCCCCAAGTGCAGTTTAAACATCGCTGCTCGGGCCTGGGCCTCAGGCAAAGGAATATAAATTCGTTTCTCAAATCTTAAAACGAAAGAAATTTACATCAAAAATATTACTACACATATTTAATTTCAATTGAAAATTCAGATTTCTCAAGAAGAAACGAGATGCTCAGATATTCTCATTTACATAAAGCTAAGCTGACTAAGTTAAATGAGCCCATTGTGTCAGAGTTAAACATGTATATTTACATTAAATAATGGGAAAATATCCAGAACACATTAGCAACTAACAAGTAAAACCAAAATAGCCAGAGAACCAGTTTGGAGTGATTTAATCTTTCTCACATGATTTTTGGGTTATTTTGGCCATAGTGTTTATAATGTCTAGAATTCACAACATGATATGTCCCACAAGATTAGCTTCTCATAGAATCATACTCTGAACTCCTGATCCAGAGATTAATATGGTTAATCATATGAAATAAGAGAGGGCAAAATAATTCTCTAAATTTAAAATGGTAAAGCTACTCAAAATCTTATCTAATAAACATATGTTTATATGTTTATTATTATCTAATAATACACAAAATGTCCACTTTATTATAATGGGTACATTCAGAATAAATAATTCTAATAGTTCATAAGTAAACACTGTTTTATTAACAGTAACTTTGCTTGCCTTCTCAGAATTTCAGCATTTGGGTAGGGAGGAAGCAACGAGGGAAAATTTAAGTGGCTGTGAAGACTTCGTTCTTTAGGTAACTCTCTGTGGCTATGAGAATTTTAAATTTCCATTATTTCTAGAGATGGGTTTAGAATTAGGCCATTTTTCAAAAATAACTAGCAGATCTCCTTTCTTAATACTGGATGGTAACCTAGCATCCCGGCAAACCATCAAGTGAATGGATAAAAGTGGCAAGAACTGGTGCTAATTTTTACCATGCAAAATTCAATGAATGAAATAGGGAACGGTGTGCATGAAGAGTAACGAGTCCATTTACCTTTCCTGTAGCTCAAGTTCAATATGTAATTTAAAAATTATAGACATAAACTTTTAATGAAATATATCTTGGTTATCTATCATACTTTAACTTATATGATTGTCATTTTGCTAAAATTTTATGTGAAAGTTTCCCACTGAAATACCAAGCTACATTTGTACATGAAGCATCAGTGCCTTACACTAAGCTTAATTAGAATTAAAAGTAAGCATTAGGTAATATATTTTCCAATGTGAAAGATTCTGTATACGAAAATCTCGTATCTTCAATACAGCAAGCAAGTAAGCAAACAAATGCCTGCCTCTCTTCCCCCAACGCAGGGGGCAACAGGGTTAGAGTACATCAAAAAAATTCTGTAAAGTTGTCAGAATGCCTCTTCAACGAACAAAAAGGGAACTGTCACTGACTTGTTACATCTGCAGTGAGAAATAAGATCTTCATTGTATCATCATACCTTCTTCTAATGGCAGAATCCAGAACCCAGGGTATATTTGTAGCTCCCAGAACCAAAATTCCATCATTGTCTATACCAACGCCTGCATCAAAATACGTAATATTTTAAGTAATTTGTCATTTTAGTGCACTTTTCAACCTCATCTATATGTTCTGTTAAGAATGTGGTGTTTTAATGTTAATAAAGTGCCTCATATTGAGAGTCTCTCTGAAAAAACTGTATTTAATCAAATATCACATTTATTCAAATATGATGCAAATATTTCCAAGAGTCAAATTTGCTAGACTATGGACAAATACTATTCATATTCTTCTCAAAAGATTTCATTTGAAGTCTACACATTCTTTTACTGATAGTGTTCCTGGTATATATAAGTGAATATACATAGTTATAAGTGAATATGCGCATCTCCTTACTGTTTATGCCAGAATCCTACAGATGATTACAACGGGGTGCAGACTTTGTGTGCATGTGCAGGACAATCAGAATGAAACATGGCACAGTGAGAACAGTCTGCTAAAATGGAGAAATTCGACTTGAATTTTTTCCATTATTATGATAATAGCAGTTATAAAATAAATAGAAACTATTTTAAAAGTCAGTACCCCTACCTTGCATTTGAACTAGGAATTCCGTCTTAATTCTACGGGCAGCTTCGCTTTCATTTTCACTTCTTGAGCCGCACAGAGAATCAATTTCATCAATGAAGATAATGGAAGGTTTACTCTCTCTAGCAAGTTGGAATAAGTTCTTAACTAGCCTAAAAATAAGTAAAAGCTTTCAGTTTCTTAAAAAAATAGTAAATGACACATGACTTAATGAAAAAAACTAAAATAGAATATATACAGTATTTTAAGAACTCTGAAGTCCAATCATGTTTTGGTCCAGGAAATAAGAATCCTACAATTAGATGATTCAGTTTATGATTTACTAAACTATACTATATGTAACTGTACATATGCTATCTTTTCCCTATGAAATGAATTTCAAACTAGGGACTGATCTGACACAGAAATGAATACTTAATGTCACTTCTCTGAATGTCTATGAATGATATAAGCCTATTACTTTATAGACTGATATAATGATTACCAGGCAGAGAGAAACTTAAAAAAAAAAAAAAATCAACTTACTACTTACTTTTCACTTTCACCTAGCCACTTTGAGACAAGGTCAGAGGAAGATACTGAAAAAAACGTGGAGTTGTTTGCTTCTGTTGCTACAGCTTTGGCTAAATAGGACTTTCCTGTTCCAGGTGGCCCAAATAACAGAATTCCCCTCCAAGGCGTTCTCTTGCCTAAAATTTGCATTAGAAAAATAACATGAGAATCTTTTTTTTTTTTTTTTTAAAGATTTTATTTATTTTGAGAGAGAGAATGAGAGACAGAGAGCATGAGAGGGAGGAGGGTCAGAGGGAGAAGCAGACTCCCTGCCGAGCAGGGAGCCCGATGCGGGACTCGATCCCGAGACTCCAGGATCATGACCTGAGCCGAAGGCAGTCGCTTAACCAACTGAGCCACCCAGGCGCCCTAACATGAGAATCTTAAGACTGTTAATTTCTGTTACCGGAGACATCATCCCTACTGAAGAATACTGTGAAGAGGTTTTCACTCTACAGCTATCAGAATAAAAAAAATTTTTTTTTAAATAAACTAACATAAGTATGTCTTAGAAGTAGCTCATTTACTTTTCTTTTAAAGATTTTATTTATTTATTTGACAGAGAGAGAGAGAACGAGAGAACACAAGCAGGGGGAGTGGGAGAGGGAGGAGCAGGCTTCCCACAGAGCAAGGAGCCCAATGTGGGACTCAATCCCAGGACCCTGGGATCATGACCTGAGCCGTAGGCAGACGCTTAACCGAATGAGTCACCCAAGAGCCCCTCTTATTTGCTTTTTCTAGGGAACACTTTGTCAAATGTGTTTACACAGATATAATCCTTCTAACAGGAAGTTCATTTACTTCACTCATTCATTCAACTACTATGTACTAAAACCACAATGTATGGACTGAGAACCTTGAACACAAAAGGATCTCTGCGCTCCATGGGCTTATAGTCTAGTAAGGGCAGAATCGTTCAGTTAAAAGGTCCTTCCTGATTGTCTGCTGTGTGCAATAATCAATATCAGAATATTGTAGGATAAATGAGATCCACAGGACAAGGGCAGCTGGAAACATTTTCTTTTAAATATTTATATTTCTTATAAATATTTGTGATTCTTTAATATTAAAATTATTAAGTAGTCTTTTAAATATTTTGGAGGAATGAAACTAACACAGTCTGGCTGATCCCTCACAAAGTTCTATTTAATTCCCGATCCACAAGGAAGGGCAGGTTACTATTACGGAGAGCATATTCTTATTCAGGTGGTTGGGTAATGATGAGGAGACTCCCTGAAATCCTAGTTTTGCCAAAATAGAACAAGTGAACAAATCAACTCTTTGTATTTCAATTTTCCTAATAAGAAATCACAACGCTGCCTAAAATAAAACAGACTTACATCTGACAAAAAAATATCAAATATACATTTAAAAAATTTCTAGGTTCAAACTGTGGATGGGTACATGGTATCTACATAAGAATGACATGTAGATTACTAATGGCAGAACTAAATACTGTTGTATTTATTGTTATGAAAGCCTCAACTTTGACTTGAGTTCTATCTTCCTATTTTAAATGTCTGCAATTGTAAGTCAGTGTTCCCTTAAGTGCGGTGTATATGACTGGTGGTATAGGAAGTGCTTTTCAGGTAGTATACAAATACTTTTTATTTAAATCATTTTTAAAATGTGTATGAGAAAAATACAAATTTTTCTATTTATAGTAGACACAAAGCAATCTTTTAAAATGATGCTACTACAGAAAAACAAGAAAGATGATTTTTAAGTTCAAATGTAGGCAACACGATCTATGGTGTTAGGGGGAGTCAAGAGTGATCACCTTTGCAGAGGAAAGATCTGGCAGAGGGACCTGTGGGTTACTGGTATCATTTCTTGATCCGTGTGATGATGATTACATAGATGTACTGACCTTCTGATAATCTGTGAAGCTGAACACTTTTAGGTTCCTGCTGGTCTCTGTATATTTATGCTGTACTTTAGGAAAAATATGCTCTAAAAGTGAGTGATTTAAAAAAAGATATTTAAAAAATAATAATGGTACACGTATACGGAAATAATCATAAGGAAGATATAGCCATGACTTGTGTTTGGAAAACACTGGCGTAAGTAACAGAGAATGAGCTCACCCATACTTTCGTGCCTTTACGGGATCACGATATCAACTTTTACACTGTTAATTTCGTATTTCTGAAGTGAGGTTGTAAGTCCTACCTGGCTTGGCGGACCCCGAGTGGCTCACAGGGTCTTTGCTCATCACTCCTCTACATGACA